AAAGAAAGAGAGAGAGAGAAAGAGTCTTCCTTATTTCTTAAAACAACAGCCATTTTCCTTCTGAATTAGCACTATTCTGTTTGGCTCTTAAAGTCATTTGTAAACTCACCTCCGGAGGTAAGCCACTTCAATATCTACTTTTAGCTGGTGTCTGTAAACATCAACTATTAATGGTGTTTTTGTTATGCTTATTTGTTATAAATTGTTGTAAAAATATGTATTGTTATAAATTGTTGTAAAATTTAACTATTTGTTAAATTCATTTGTTTTAATTTATGTAAAGCTTTTAAAAACTTCCAAGAGAAAGCCAAAAAGACAGAAAATTTTAAACAGGGACCCTGGGTTGCTGGGCCATCCATTAGCTTGTTAGAAACTCTTGGAGACATGTGTCAGTAGAATGACTGAACCAGTGAGGACCTCAGCCCTACTGACCTATTAGGGACTCCCAGAAATGTGTGTTAACACTGTCACCAGAAACGCCATTAAAATGGGGGTCCAATCAACCCCCAGAGTGTTAGATTACCCACAGACTTGTTAAAAAGGTATATAAGAGTGTGTTCTAGTTCTAATTCTAAGAGTACAAGCGTATGAGAGTCAATGTGAACTATCAGACAGTGTTCATGTCGGGCCTGTGTCTGCCTTGTCAGTTTTGTGTCATTTGTTCAGTGTTTATTGAAAGATTGGTCTCAGCCTGAAACAAATAGTCTTGAAAACATTTGTGAGTGAATTGCAGATCTTTTCTTTCAAGGGACCTACTTACTCTTATGTGTCCTACACCCTTCACCATCTGGTGCATCTTTAACCTGACAGTCATTGGTCTCTTCGTCCTTATTATTGGTATTAGACTTGGTAGCATTACCCACCCCCCCAGACTAGTCCACCAGGGAATGTATACGACCCCAGTGACTTGTCCCTTCCATCTTCCCACTATCAAGTATTGTTACTCAGATTGTCTTTCCTTTCAGAATTCTCATAATTAACATTTGCCTGATTGTAATACTCCTAGTTACCATCAGTTAAGAAAAAGTAAATACGTAGATTTGTATAATAATATTATCCCCAGGTGAGTCCAAAATTCCCACCCTGTTAACTTGTTAATACATTTATTTTGTCATTCAATCACATTTCCTGTTAAGCCTTCACTTTTCACTTATGCAGGCAACAGGGTTGCTGCTGGCAATAGCCACGACTGGCTAAAAAGTCAGACATAGTAGGAGAGTTTTAATTCCTTTCAAACTTGCCCACTCCTTATGCCTGGCTTTCCCACCTCATTGCCTAATAGGTATTCTAACAAATGAATAAATACAGCCCCACATGTTAGGCAGGGTTATTAAGTCTTTGCAGTTTTTACCTGAAAAAAAATTAGGGTGTGCACTCCCTACTCAGAGTGAAGCCTTCCAAAATGTTTGAAACTACTTTATTCATAACCTTACTAGGACTCAAAAGATATGACCTGCAATGTGTTTATGCCTAGAAATAAAAGTCTGATTTCTAAGCTTACCTGAAAAATAAAGATTTCCTGAGCCTAAAAAATAAAGATTTCCTGTCCAGCTCTAATTGAAAAAGATTAGCTCTAATTGAAAACTCTACCTCTAATTGAAAAAATCCTGTATCAATGTTACATTCCATAAAATGTCTCTCATTTGTAAAATGTAATAATTTAGTTGCCCAAAAAAATTGAATCTTTTAAAAGAGAAAAATTCTTGCTTTTTAAAACTTTCTAATTATCAGTTTGGCAAATAAATGGTTAACTGTAATCTTGTTTTGTAAGAAGTGAATTTTAGGGAGTAAGAAAAATTAGACAGAAGGAAAAATGGCATTGTATAAGAAAAGAATATTGTGTAATAAATTTATCCTGAAACAGAATAGTTGTTAAAAAAGAGTAAAAGGCAAGACAAAAGTTAAAAAATTTAAAATGTTTATAGATTATTTGTGCAGGTTAAGTGAAACTCATAAAAGAGATTTTGTGAGGAAGTTTACATGTGATCCAGTTGACTATATATTTCCTTTAGAATCTTTTGGTTTGTAGGTTTGGTTGAACAAATATTTAAGCCTTTAATATTTGACAAATCTTCCGAAATCAAAACTCTAAATTTAGGGCTTTTTGCCTATAGCACAGTGGTTCTGGCGCTAGCCACATGAACTGAGACTGGCAGGTTCTAAACCTGTGAAAAACAAATTAGACTTATTTGATTTGTTAAAAGTGTATGGGAAACATTGTCAGATATGAAATGGTGATTTTCTGTGAATTACAATTACATATATATGTTCCAGTATTATAAAACATTGATCTGTTCTCACCTGTAAAGCACTGATCTGTCCTAACGTATAAAACATTAATTTGTCCTAACATATACTGTCAGTAATAATTTTCAACCTAATTTCAAACAGAACAGAAATCAGTTACATAGACCTGGGCTAGTTTGTTA